GGCATTGTATTCCTCCGCACTGGAACAGTAAAGATGGTTGTTATTAGACTCCAACACTTACCTTGCCTTGATACATTGGTTCATGGTTTTACACAATGTAGTGTAACACAAATTTAGCAGTTTACCAACTTTGGTACTCTAATTTAATTTGGGTTTACGGCTCACTTTCAGAACCAAACAACTGTGGAACTTGCGAGTCAAATTCCATTTATCCAGCGCAAATCCCTTTTGTTAGATTAAGATTGCAAAATAAGTACAAAATTACTAACATTAAAAAAACCCATTGCATCCTGCGCGAATTTCATCCCACAGAATAGATTTCATTTCGGTCATTACCACGTGGTCTAAAAACAAAGAAACAAGCCACGCATTCCATCCACCTTGAATTTGGCATACCAATAGACCGTTTTGACTGGGCGGTTTGCTGCCCCATTTCAGACCATGTGATGATACTCTTGAGAATTCTTCCTTTCAAATTTTCAAATAGTCAAGCGTGTATTTTGAATAAATAATTTTTAGATGGATAAAAGAACAATTCTCTAGAAAATATCACGTGGTCTGTAATGGGAAAACAAACCACCCAATCGAAAAAGGTCTATTCAACATATATTTCGTCAAATCCCGGTTGAACGAACAGGTTAACAATGGACCTAAGAATTCTTACCTGATACTGTATATCTTTGGGGTCGTCATACTTATACATAACTCCCACAATCTGAAAACGAGAAAAAANAGACTCCAACACTTACCTTGCCTTGATACATTGGTTCATGGTTTTACACAATGTAGTGTAACACAAATTTAGCAGTTTACCAACTTTGGTACTCTAATTTAATTTGGGTTTACGGCTCACTTTCAGAACCAAACAACTGTGGAACTTGCGAATCAAATTCCATTTATCCAGCGCAAATCACTTTTGTTAGATTAAGACTGCAAAATAAGTAAAAAAATACATTTAAAAAATAACACTGGATCCTGCGTGAGCTGCAGTTATGGAATTTCATCCCACAGTAGAGATTTCATTTCGGTCATTACCACGTGGTCTAGAAACGAAGAAACAGGCCACGCATTCCATCTACCTTGACTTTGGCATAGCAACAGACTTTTTTCGACTGGGCGGTTTTTTGCCCCATCTCAGGCCATGTGATGATACTCTTAAGTTTTCATGCATTCAAATTTTCCAATAGTCAAGCGTGCATATGAATAAACAATGTTTAGATGGATAAAAGAACAATTCTCTACAGAATATCATGTGGTCTGTAATGGGAAAACAAACCATCCAAGCGAAAAAGGTCCATTCAACCTATATTTCCGGCGTCAAATCCAGGTTGAACGAACAGGTTAACAGTGGACGTAAGAATTTTCACCTGATACTGTATATCTTTGGGGTCGTCATACTTATACATAACTCCCACAATCTGAAAACGAGAAAAAGGAAACCGGTATGTATAAAGCTAAGCGTAGGTCCTATGGGTTGAAAAAAGGGAAGGGGGAAAATATTCACCACAATTTGAAGAATGATTTAATTTCTAGAGTTCTTAGATGAACCTAAGGATGGGTTTTAAGAAGAAATCCAATAAATAGTCAAGGACGTCACTGCTATAATTGCATGTAAAAGGTTCTGTATGTGTTTTTGTAACTAAACATTTCATGTGATAGGCTGACTTGGATG